GTGAGACACAAAACTACCGGCGAACTCAAAGATAGATAAGCGTTAACTGCCTCTTTCTGCGAAGTTAAACTCCGAATATTCATTGACGACAAAGTTATGCTAGTAGGCACGTTGTTATTAGTACTCATGGTGGAAAGAAAACACACGCCACATCGCTACCGCCTAGCCTGGTCATCTTGACGTTCGACATAACAACAGAATAATACATAAGAACAGAATAATAAAAAACGTGATGAGAAAAAGAAAGAAAAGAATAACTAAAGAAGATAACTACCTTGGAGGTCATCGAGGTCATGTAACTGTCACAGTTAAATTATTCAACGCATTATCAATTTCCAACGTAGAATACAATTGTTTATATTTGCCTTTATCCACATAAAGAAAAATATTACCGTTTCTTGTAAAAATACGTTTTTTATCTAAATGTTTTCGTGCATGAACGAATATTTGGTTATTATAATAGGTTAAATGTTCATTGATAAACACGTTCTTGAACTCATCATGGTTACGGCAACGTTTCCGAGACGAATGAAAAGCGGTACGATCAGTAAATCTCAGAAAACTAACAATAATTGATTGTTTCGTCTTGTCCACTGAATTTTTCGTAGGTGGTAAACGATGAATTGCGTTAAAATCATTTTCTTTTAGTGTTAAACCCAATGTACTACCTAATTTTAAGACAATATCAGTGACATTTTCATCTTTCGTATATGAAATTCCATAAATAAGAAGATCACGTCGCTTTCCATATTGCTCCAGTTGATTCAAATCATTTTGTACCAGCCTTAATTCATCTTTCGTATCTTTTAACTCGTTAGTCAATTGTTTAATTAGTTCATCATGTCGTTGACATGCTTTATTTACTATTGTTTCAATCGATTGCATGAATACATCAGATATGTGAAAGTATTTTTGATTAACTGAGTTAAATTAATGTTGTCCACTGCTGTGTCCATTGTCGTTTTCAACGATTTCGACTTTTTTAATAAAGACGAATTTATAGGCGATGGCGGACTATGACGAATAATATGTAGCATGGTCTAACTATGTGACAGTATAAAGAAACCTTACAAAATATGACTTGTCACCATCAAAGAAAAATGAAAAGTGAAAGATAATAACAGTTATTACGTTATCATTTATTACTTTTATTACTTTTGAAATTTATTACTTATTACCAAGTAATAAGTAATAACGCTTTTATTATTACTTATTACTAGTAATAGTAATGTAGCAGCCCTATTTTTGATATTTATTAACGACCTTGTTTTAGAGTTTCCTGTTGAGGTAACGGCTTCCTTATTTGCAGACGACGTCTTCGGATTAGTCTCGTTACAAAACTTTTCTGATTTATCCGAGGTACAGAATCTCCTAGATATTATGTCGAAGTGGTGTGTGGAAAACGAGATAGATTTAAACATCGATAAATGCTGCTATATGCCGTTTTCTAATCAAAAACCACCGGAGCAGTTCCCACCTCTTTTGTTAAGTGGGAAGCAAATAATGGTCGAAAAAAATATAAAATTACTAGGAGTTTATCTTTCATCAGATCTCACATGGAAATTTCATCTTGAAAATACAGCTAGAAGGTGCAGGCAAATGTTAGGCACAATGAATCGAATATTCGGATCTGATCCTACTTTTATTCGACTGCATATTTATAAAACCTGTATTTTGCCAGTAATGGATTATTGTTGTGTAGTATTTGACAATGATTTCAAAACGCATCTCG